GGAAATATCATGTCTAAAAATAAGAGAAACAGCCTTAATATACCCTGCTTTATTTTGGAATGAACTCTTATAGTAATTCTATATTTTTTCAGAAAATCTGTTAAGAGTTCTAAGCATCACTTTGTCATATATGATCAAAATCTTGTTGGTATTGTTATGTGCAGTTTGTGATTATATCATAACATATTTTTTTACAATAACTTCTTCAGAGCTTCCAGAAACGTATCATTTCAGGTTTACCAACTTAAGCCAAAATCTAGTATGCTGTTCTCATTGATATAAAAGTCTTAAATACTAAACCTAAAAGATGTTAGATTATATTTTAATACTTTTTTACATTAAAAACTGTTACGGGCTTCAAGTAAAGTGCCATTTCCTTTAACATTGTCCATTAAAAGCTGATAAGGACTTCAAGTGTAAAGTGCCACTTTTGGTTGTCCAAGTTTCTTCAGAATCTAACCAACTCTTTATGTGAATGAAAAATGCCTAAATATGGAAAATTGAAACTTTTGGAAGTTTGGCATAAGAATTATCGTGGATTAAAAAAATCGTCACACTCATACACTCAGTCAGATACACACAAATATATCATAATAAAAACAGAGAGCACTGTGTTGTGGGGACCTTAATTCCTGCTTACGCACTGAAAACTTGCGATCAAATTTTTGGACCGAAAACAGTACCTTCCTTACGTATATATATATATATATATATATTATATACGAAAACAGTACCTCCTAGTATAGTATATATTATATATATATACATTAGGTTGGCTGGAGATAAAAGATTTGGTTACTTTGTTAAGACTTTTAGACACTTTACAACACAAAACGTAAAAACTCAATTCGCGTTTACATATAGATTCTGTTTACAGATCTTTGAAGATAACAGCTGGATATGTCAACAACTTACAGCACAATACAACAGATACACTGTGTTACAAACAGAGTTAAAATTTTGAATAAACTTTTGCGTCTTGTCTTGCAAAGTTTTAGAAATACCTTCAATTAGTACTTTCAAAAGCTTCTTATATCCTTTCTGCAATAACATAATCGACAGTTATATTTATAGATTCGCAGGATTGTCACTGATATACTCTAATTTTAATATTATCGAGCCATTCACTACTCTGCCTAAATAGATACGTTTGCCTGCTTACTGCTCATCAGATAAACTATAAAATCGTAAAAAATCAAAACTTTAGCAAGAAGTTTCCCAGAAAGTTCATGAATTAAACGGTTTTCATTTATTTGGCAAGACCAAATTTAAAATTATGAATAAGTTGTTTAAATTCATTAGATTACTCACATTAAAGGCATGATTACCTCCTATCCTTAAATTGAAAGTACTTTCTTTTTTATTAACATTTAGGACTATTAGTTTTTTTCTGAAGCAGGAATAGCGAAAATCATTTATGCTTTCCTCAGATTCCACATATTCCCATGGTAGTGGTACATGTTTTCAGTCACATCAGTAAAACTACAAATGGAAAAGGCAAACATTTCCTATATCCTCCTTTAAAGGGTGACATGGGAGAGGGGAGTGGAAACGGACCAAACTCGGATAATGACAAATTATCGTTTAGCATACTTTAAGTCGGGCATCAATGTAGAAGTGAAAACGAATTAGACTTTTTCCCGAGAAAGAAAAAAAATCACTAGGCTTTCACTGGGATTCGAACCATGGATCTCATGACTGCTGTTTGAACGGGCTACCAATTACACCATTACAGCACTTAGTGGGGAAGGCGAGAATGCTTTACAACCATATAAGGTATTTCTCCTGCCTTCTAAGTATGCCTTCATAGTGCAGTGGTCAGCACGCTCGGCGCGTATTCGAGAGGCTTGTGGTTCAAGTGCCAAATAACCGCTTTTTTAGCATGCCTTCGTAGTGTAGTGGTCATCCCACTCGGCGCGCATTCGAGAGGGCGCGTATTCGAGAGGGCCGTTTATCCACTGGGTAACAATTATGGGTAAAATTTCTGTTAGTATACTTTCAATTTTATTACTATATTCTTTACAGTATTTTGATACATGTGGATGATTCTATTTACAGCATATAGACAAGACAATATATAGAATGGAGAGGGGGAGATTAATGGTCTATTAATAATGAAAAGGGAAATGCAGAGAAAATGGTTGAGAACTACTGGTTTAAGAAATGCATTACATGCCCATAATGAAAAATCTATAAGCAATTTAACAAAACTAAATTATGCCTATTTTGCATTTTCTTGTTAATTAGTGATTCTGCCCTAAATGTGATTATTTAATTATGGAATATATGGAACAGTCATAGTGTTAATATTAAATTTAATTTTATTTAAAATACATATAGGCATTAAAATACATTTTTTGTATTTAATTACTTTTATTAGCCTAAAATATTTGAAGGTTAGAAAAGGCTTAACCACTCCATCGCTCATAGATTACTCAACACAAACAACAGTCAGAAGACTTAAACCTTTCATCTAGAAGAACTTGGTGCGAAAACTCTGATATTCAAGATGGTTAGGTGATTCGGACAAGTCACCTTTAATATATTCCACAAAAAAAATATCGTTCTCACAGTTTCCAAAAAATTCGGGAATATAACAAAAATCTGCTGTAAAAGAACTTTAGATTGAATTCCATTTTACCATTCTTTTAGGAAAAGGTGAAATGTTAAATGATAGCCTTGAGAAGCGCAAAGGATTCTAATATAGTATTAATTATTTTATGCGAATACAGGGAAGAATATTCTGTTCCTATTGAACTTTCCTTTCCTCTGTCTTTCTAATATCATGAAGTTTCTGCTTGCGATAAAAATCCTATCTGTGGCAAATTTATTTAAGATATTATTTATAAAGATCTTATGCGTCGTCGAAATACCTTACTGACGTCCATTTACGATGCATATTATCTTTCATCTATTTTTGATATGGTAAACGTGCGTTACTCAATAAGCCTAAATTTATCACTTAAAGAGTAGTAATTTTATTTATATTTTTCACCGTATTTTGCAATAAATGTTATTTTGTATTATAAGTCTTATAAATGAAATACGTTTCGAATCCCCATAACACAATGATTGAAAATTTTTAATCTACTCCTTTTGCTCACTTTCCTCAGCACCCAAAATATTATCTGATGGTTATGATTAAATTTTGCAGTAGCATATAGATTCATCTTTATATGTATATAGATACATTTACAAGCGCAAAAGGCCTATTAGTCTTGAAATGAGATTTTGCGACGAATCACTATAAAAGTGTTATTTCACTTTTCATTCGAGTCTGTTGCCGTCAGAACATTTTCATTCGAGTCTGTTGCCGTCAGTCTGTCGTCGTCAAAATCTACGATTTTATCTTTAAGCTGAATCTCTCTGTTGTGGATTAACAAACTAAGCTATCTGAAAGCAATAGATCCAGTTCTTACGAAAATTTAATCTTTACTTTTGAATCGGATTAGTTTAAATAATAAAGCGCATTTAATTTATGATCTATCTACTTATAAATATTCATTATTTTCATAGAATGATGTTATACATTTTTTATTATTTATTTCATATTTTGTAAATTTTTGATGAATTTCTGATAAACAAACTCAACAATTTGGAAGCAAGTAGTGGCAACACTGTACATAATAAAAGAATATTATCTCTACTGAGACTGTCCGTCGGAAATTATCAAGATAAGTTGTTTTTAAATAATTGGGATTTGCTCTTCAATTTAATTTTATGTGACGTCATTGCGAAGAGCGTGATATTTAATAAATAAAGTTGACACATAAAACGTTAATATTAAAATTTAAAAAAAAAGTTTTGTAAGTCATCTTGCTAGAAAAAGTGCACATGGAAATGATAAACTGAGAAAGAAGAAAAAAATAGAAAATTTATTATGCCAATACTTAACACTGCATCGAGAATTATAAACATATGCTATTATGCTGCTTTTAAAATTGTTTTAATTTTGTTGTTGAATTGTATATGGCGTAAGCACAAAGAAATCGATACTTAATAATAAAGCTAAAAAGACAAAAAAGGGGTTAGGAGGAATAAGTGCAACAGCAGAAGTTCACCTGCAAAATGTTTTACAAACCCCTTTGGCGATCGTCTAATCTAAAACCTTTTATTACCCCCCCCCCAAATCATCAGTTTGAATTTTTAATTTTTTTATTTATACCATTTTGCTTTCAAAATGTAAGTTCAGAAGCAAATACCACAGCGTTTAAAATGAAAGCTATTTTTTTTATTTAATTTAAATTTTATTCAATAGCATATATCTGTTCTTATGAACTGGCAACTGTAGCTATTCTATTCCGTAAAGGAAAAAAACTGAATATACGTATATGTAATATTAGACTACTTTAATTTTTTTATGCTTTTGAAACTTTTAATAGTAATCTCTTCTTCGTGATTTTAAATAGTAATTTGAAGATCGCAAGATTTTTCTTCAATCTTTGACTTCAAACCCCCCCTCCCCCACTCTAAATGCTCTAATTTGACTTTTGATTAGTCGGGTTAACTGTTGCTGATCAAAAGAGTATGTATTCGTTTCTTCATTATGTAGCGTCTGAAAAACTTATAGACCCTCTCAGTTCCCTTCGAGTTTCTTTTGAAATATATGTCTATCTAATTTCCTTAGTCTAAATATTGTTTTCAAATATAAAATATTGAGTTTAAACTTGATATTTTCTAAAATATGCAGATTTTAATGTTTTTATGAAAATTTGTATTGTCTAATATACCTTAATCTGAACAGCATTTGAGATGAGATCTTAAGTACTCAAAGCATTCTACATAAACAAAATCAAAGTTTGGAAGTTACCTAAAGATGAATTATTTAAGTATTAAATAATAAATTTAACCCACGTGGGTGGCTGCATTCCATCTACTCACTTAACTTCTGAAAAAAAAAATATTTTCCTTTATAACCGCCAAATTGCATTGGCATAAACTGCAATTCAGTCTTCAAGTTTAAAAGTAAAAGTTAAATATGTGTATTCATAAAGTGTTACCTTGTGCTTGGGTTGGTGAGGGAGACCCCCAGGCACCTTTGTATGCTGGCTCTGTGGAGGAAAAAAATTAAAAATTAATATGCAAAAGGAACAAATCTGTAAATAAAGTAATTATGCGTAAGATATCCATAGTATAAAAATGATCTCACAAACTTAAAGGTAAATCATTTTTAATCTTCCATAAAAACCTTCATATAGAAATTACAAAGCCTATTCAGATCAGTTTTATATTGAGTTTGCATTATTTTCGCAGAAAATAAATATCTCTACAAAATATAGTCGTAAAATCAAAATTAGAAAAAGGAAAAATTGATGATACGTTCAATGGCTATATAGTATGGTGGTCATAAAAAAACTTCACCGGTATATGAATCCCCATCGGCTTATCCGATCAACCATTCGAAACGAAATTTCAGATATTATTATTTGAAGGTATCCCGCTCCAGACTGAGAGTGATTTTATAGAATAGAGTTCTAAAAGTTATAGATACAGTGAAAGAATTTCAAAATTTTTGAATGACAACACCCACTTTTTTCCTCAGCTCAAATTGAGTGCCACACTGAAATACCATAAATAGCGTTGGCGCGATACACGTATGAAGAAAAATACAAGGTTAAAACATTTGCAAAGAAGAGCATTTTGTATGATGACTCTGTATATTCTAAACTAAGAAATTATGCCAATTTTCGTAACATATTTTGATTTCCAATTTTTGAGACATTATTAATTTTAAATTCTCTTTAATATGGGTGAAAAAGCAATCTGAGTGAGAGATTTACAGTGTTGAATTTTTCTGTCATTTCATTGAACACTAGTTTTGAGTAAGGTACATTTTCTTATTACTGTATTTACTACTAGTAACGCTTTAGTTGAGCAATTTGTCAATTATGAATTATGTCAAGGTTTGTTATACGAATATCATGTTTGCAGCATTCAGCGTTATCGACAAATTCACACAATCGCAAATAATGCAGAATACAAGATGTCCCTAAAATACATATAATACTTATATGTTATTACAGATAATATGGGTACTATCATGTACTATAATTTAGACAATAATTTTAAAGCCAAAAAATAATAAAATTCGCAGAGTAGTTAATTAGTTGCATGGTAAACTGTAAGTTTTCACAAACATTTCACGGTCTGGTACTTACCTTAACAATAATTTTGCAAAAATATCTAAACTTAGCATTATACAATAATTCTGCACCTGATAATTTCTATATTCTCCCGTGAAAAAATATGTATTTTGCATGCAGCAATAGCATAAATGATTCATAACTAATTATTATATTATAGAAAGTATTTAAGTTTATCATCAAGCTTATCAAAAAATAACATTTTAGTAGTGTTGTCATGCCTACACAGGAGATCAAGTTTTCCATTTAAGTAGTTTCCATTCAAATACTTAGTGGTAAATTGTATTACTGCGCACACAAAGATTTTTTACATCAGTGTAGTGTTTTCTGCCTTAGAAAAAGTTTTTAAAATTAAAAAAATGGTCGTACAATCATTCGGCGCCTCACCAGTCTTTAAATTAACTAAGCATAGGTCTAAAAATTATAACAGAAATTAGAGACATGAGGAATAAATACACAGAAAAGAAACTCGTTGATGCTAATTTCATAAGTTCTATTGTCATAAGTTCCGGATATTCATTTCAGAAAATTCCAATCTTTTTATATGGAAGTTTTCCATCAAAAGGAGACTTAGAAAGAAGGAACCGAATAAGGAATACCTTATTCATAAACTCCTTCTGGTCCTGCAGTTTTAAATGACATAATAAATAAAATTGTATTTCACATAAATTAAACAAATGAGTCATTCATACTTTTGGGTTAGCAAGAGGGTAATTTCGGTTTGCACAAAGTGATAGTGTTATGTTCGTTTTGTCATTCTTCTTTCAATAATTTTTTTTTTTTTTTTTTTTTTTTTTTTTCCTTTGAGATTTGGCAACTGACACTTTAGGTTGCTACAGAAACGGATTTCGAGTAGTATATTTGTACGCAATTCTTAGTCTATGGTCCGTTTTAACATGGAGTGCAAAAATAAATATTTTCAACGTATTTTACTTTTTTATTTTCGTAGAGGCAAGAATTCAGCTGAGGTGCCTCGCAGACGGTATAGTGGCTAGGGGAGCCTACTGGAGAACCAAAGCACCCAGGCTCGAATCCCGGAGAAGGCATAGATATTTGTAAATGTATAATGTCCGTGCAGCATGGAGAAATTATAAATATTCGGCAAGCCAAAAGTCCTATCGAGAAGTGGGAAGAAGGTTGGGAGACCCGTTCCCCCAGGGTGCTCTCCATCAAAATTGAGGGCGAAACTCAGCGATGTCGAACGGTCACCTGTATGGTGCTCAAGGCGCTTGCCAACGACAGGCGCAATCTTGCACTCCTTGCCACGATGAATTTCGTGGCTTGTTCTGTTACGCTCAGACAAGTGACATAAGTCACAACGACAAGCAGCTGAGGCTTAGAAAGAGATATGTGAAGATTATCGTATTGATTGTATAACAGAATGTATGCATTAGAACTGGGCTAAAAACTTTCATTCTGCATATTTTTCACTTGAAATTGACCAACGTTCTAGCCGACTTTCTGAAGTTGATGGTGAAAAAATTAAAGCCATAATTAAATCCAGTTATCACATAACTGTGTGAGAGATTAAAAAAGTGCTGAATGTATCACACACAACAATTGAAAATCACATGATATGTCTTGGACTTGTTAATAAGCGTAGCTTTTGAGTTCCGCATGAGTTGAAAGAAATTCACTTAACACAACGAATCAATATTTGCGATACGCAATTCAATGAGTTTTGTAAAGGAATTTTCACTGGTGATGAAAATTAGTCTACTATAGCATAAATCGAAAATGATCATGGTCCAAGCATGATGAATCAGTACAAATCACATCGAAAGCTAAATTGCACCAGAAAACGATTGTGCTGCCAATTTGGTGAGATTACAAAAGTGTTGTGTATTTTGAGCTGCTTCCAAGCAACCAAACGATCAACTCAAATGTTTATTGGCAAAAATTTATATTAAATTGGAGGAAGCTACCACAGTGAAAAGGCCAGAGTTGGAAGATCGCAAAGGAATCGTGTTCCACCACAACAATGGGAGACTTCCTACATCTTTAGCAACACGTACGAAGGAGCTTGGCTGTGAAATGGTGCAGTATTCGTCATATAGCTCCAATCTTGCACAAACAAATTACCATTTATTTTGAAATTAAAAAAACTTCTTAAGTAGTAAATATTACAGTAACAACGATGACCTCAAATCGCACTTAATTGAGCTTTTTACTGATAAAGAGAAGAAGTTTTATGAGAGCGGAATTAAGAAGTTATCATAAAGATTGCAAAAGGTCATCGAATGGAATGGAAAATATTTTGACTGCTTAAAGTGCATTTTAACTGAGTTTTATTTCACACAAAAAACCGAAATTACTTTCTTTGCCAACTCGATAATTCATTAATAAAATCTTTTAACAGATCGTATATTTTATTGCACTTTACATTATCTGACACTTCATAATGTATTCAATTTATATTTTTCTAGTTTATGTATTCTAGTTCTTATAATAAATTATATTTTTAAACATCAAAATTTAACTCTTATATACGTTTTATATAACCAATAAATCTGAAGTTCAAAAATTTAAACTTCAGTAAAAGCAAGAAATTCAAATGCTTAGATGAAAATTCGAAAACAGGTTTTAATCTCGCTTATTGACGTTTATGAAAAATATTTAGTACACCTCTGGTAAGTCATAGAAAATTGCAATTCTGAAGTTCGTTGCTGTCGGAAAAATAACTTATACTTCTTCATGCAACACTACGGCCCATTATTCAAGAAAAGCCTGCACGATGCCGAACAAACATTAATTGTGAGTCAGTGGCAACAGCAAATAACGGAGAAAATAGCAAGCACAATTGCCTACGAATAAGAGAATTTTTACACGAATTCGTCAAGGATGAAAAGGAAGTGAACAAATATGGTTCGAAAGCATGGTTTTCGAAAATATTGCAGTTCCTTTTTCTAGAGTTTTATTGAGAATTTCCTGAAAGCTCAATCTTACGGTTGCCACCTAAGAACTCATATTAAAGACGGGGAGAAGAAACGTCGATTTTCCCCCTTCTTCTTCACTTAATATACATAGAAATGAAAGTTCTAAGATAGAGTCTTTACTTTTATCGACATATTTTTGCAGTTAAACGTTTTGATATCACAAGCTACGCATGGTATTCAGCAATTTAAAAGACTTTGAATGCTACCATGCATTTACCGTAAACTTCTTTTTCAAAATTTATGCAGCGAATAGATTTAAAAACTATTAATCCACCTAATCGATATATTGAAAGAATTCACAATGCAAAAATGTAATGCTCTTTCTATAAAAGTTTTTCCAATTAAAATCATGTCTAATATTTAGTGCAAATAAATCTCCAGTAGAGGGGTATAACACCCGCGTACCTGGGCTACAAGGCCCTACCCCATATCAAAAAATAAATCTATCTTAATTATATTGCAATTAACTAGGTAAGAAGTTACAACAAGTTGGAAGAAACATGATTAATGGATTAATATATATATAGTGCAGTCTGATACATTTCCTTCACAGAACATGCATATTTTTGACTTAGAAATGTCTAAACTAGAAGTGTAATAATTATTTAGCACACGTAAATTTAAAAACAAAATGTGGCAATCTTCTAGATATAAGAGAAAATTTTTTCATAATAAGTACCAGGATTATTAGGCTTAGAATTATTATTAGGCTATTAAGTTTAAAATTTAGTCTATAACTTTAAATTTATTCTTTTACACAATTAGAAGAATCTAAAATACTTTTGAATTAATAAAATACATTTGTATATTTCATATGGTTTAATAATTACCTGCAATTTACAGAAATTTCATTCAATTCGCATCTTTCTTATTTATTATTCTTTTAACATTTTCTCACTATTTTTATAATTATTTTAATCTTTTTTGTATTTTCATACATTTCTTCATTTGTTATTTTATTTATTTTTAGAG